GGACGGAGTGAACGAAGCTTCTGCGACCGCCTTAACTGGGGGGAAGTTTAACGAGACTCACGCAAACCGAGTCCTCAAAGGCCCAGAGTTGGCAGACATTCTCAAAGGTGAAAATGCAAAGGACTTGGTCGACAACTTTGAGTTTGTATACTTTGCGGGTCACAAAAACAACGAGTTGGTGATGTATCATCCAAACACCAAAACTTTGTTTGAAGCTGATTTGCTCTTCAACGTTAAGCCAAAAAGTGAGCAGTACGGCAATGAAGATCCAACTACGGGGTTGAGTTTCATTGCTCGCTACATACAGCCGTACTCAGCTGTAAGTAAATGGATCACTGGCAGATTGCTTAGTTCCGCCGAACAGGGTAACCGTGATGCCATTAGTGCTGTTGCTTCTTGGGATTTTGAACGCATTGTGGTATCCCATGGTGAAGTTATTGAAGGGAAAAACGAGAGCAGACTGGCATTTGACTCGGTCTACGGCCATTTCTACAAGTAAAGAACTTGGCTAAAATATCAAAGACTCTTTTGTATCTTTCCATTCGTATTGAAATGGAACTCTACCGGGAGTATCAGTTGCACCGTGTATATATTTACTGTTACTCGAAAAAGCCCGTCTGTACTGAACGTTGACTATAGGCACTACAATGCCGCTTTAGAGACGTGTACATGTGTATATCAGTCTACATCTAACGAACGTATTCGAATATTCAAACTAAAATATAGCTGGTACTGAATGCCGCTGTTGAAAGTAGGAGGCTGGATTTTAGGGAAGGTGGAGAATCCAGGGATTGCATTTTTAGAGTTGAACTGAACCATCTACAGTAGTGAGTTTAGCGATAAAGCCCTCTTTTTGTCCTCTTAAGTTCGAAACATAATACTTTGCCGCAATACAGTGAAATAACTATGTATTTATGCTTCCTTGTTTACTTGTACTTAGTCCTTGGGCTTAAGTCTGGCACATACTGGAAGACATTTCTGAACGGAGTGTTGCATAGACATTCATGTCAACAGTGTCTCGTTCTAATAAGAAATAAGAAATTGTCAGGCCTAAGGAATCAGCTCGAAAATTATAAGGATGGGAACTTTGAGGATTTGCCACTAAAACTGTCCTGAACTTCGGGTGAGCGCCTGTAATCCCGGGGAGCTGCTGGAGATTTCACACGTACGCATGGAAGCTTTTAGCGCATGCATTGCTGTCCATATGCATGATATAGAACAGTGG